TGGGCAGCGAGCCGGGGGGGACACACAAGGTGGGATATAGGATATAAACCCCCCCCCCTCTCCCCCAGCCCTGGAACCTGCATTCGTTTTTCCCCTTTGGAACCTTTTTACCCTCTTAGGACCACCCCCTGTTGCTCCTCTGGTTAGATTTGGGGTCCTTGTTGCCCCCCCTCATGGGGGTGTTTTGTGGACCCTTTTGTGACCCCCCCCCCCCCCCCACACTCATCTCCTGCAGGGCTGGGTTTGGTGTTTGGCTGCTGCTGGGACCACGCTGTGCTCAGGCTCATGGGACAGCACTGTGAAACTATGGGACCTGGAGGCAGAAGGGCAGCAGTGTGGGGAGATCAGGTGGGGCTGGGAGCACCGGGAAGAGAGAATTGGGTTTTTTTTTGTGAGGGTCCCACTCACTTTTCTCCCACCTTCCTCCCGTACAGGGAGAGGGCAGCAGTGCTGTGCCTCTCCTTCTGCCCCGATGCCATCATCACAGGAACCTACGACAAAACGGTGGCTGCGTACGACCCGCGGGGTGAGTCCTGCCCCACACATATGGGGCTGCAGCAGCGCTTGGGGGTCAGGGCTCTCACCCCTTCCCCCCCCCCACACACCCCACAGCAGCCCCCCAGGCCCCGGTGCGATCCTACAAACCCCACAGCAGTGCAGTGCTGGCGTTGGCAGCTGACGATCGCCTCATCATATCTGGGAGTGAAGACCGAACCCTCGTGGTCATCGACCGCCGTGCTGATGGAGTCCTGCAGCGCCTGCAGGTGGGGCTGACCCCCCTGAAAAGTGTGGGGCTGATCCCCCCGAAAAGTGTGGGGCTGGGGGTTCCATTCCCTTCCAACCATTCATGGTTTGGGGTCTGAGAATCAACGTTTCAAGGCTGGGTTTGGGAGTGGGGGTTTGGGGTGTAGCACTGTTGCCCCCCCCCCCCCACGCTCCCCACTTTTTCTCCCCACACCGCTCACCCCATAACGCTGCGTTTTGCCCCATAGCTGCAGCATTATCTCCTCTCCATGTCGTATCGGGGGACGCAGCTCTGGGCTGGGGACAACCAGGGCCGAGTCCACGTCTTCGGGAACAGCGAGGGCCGCTTCCGGGCAGAGCGGGTATAGGGCCGTCTATAGGGCCATATATAAGGCTGGGGGGGGGGGGTGAGGTTGTCTTTGGGGCTCTAACCCCCCCCTCACTGCCCCCATTGCAGCGCTTTGATGTAGGGCACCGCCTGCAGATCACAGGGCTGTGGCAGAACGAAGGATCCTTGTACACCACCTCCACTGACCGCACCATGCGGGTGAGGGACCCCAACCTCATGTGGTGATCCCCCCTCCCACCCGCAGTGCACTGGGATTATGGGGTTGGGGTACATGGGGCCTATGTGGTGCCCTCCCCCCATATCTTCAAGGGGAGGAGGAGGAAATGGCACCTCTCTGTTACAGATCCACGTTCCCACGGATCCCCCCCGCACCATCTGCTCCTGGACACACGACGATGTTCTCAATGGGGTAAGGGGGGAGGTGGGGGGGGCCCCACACATTTCCCTTCCTGGATCCCCCATTCCTCCCCA